GATAGATAGATAGATAGATAGATAGATAGATAGATAGATAGATAGATAGATAGATAGATAGATAGATAGATAGATAGATAGATAGATAGATGTTTACATAAACTAAGCACCCTGTGTTTAACACCCGCTCAATCTCTGAGCTTATTTTATATCTATGTGACAAACAACTTAATGAACACTTAAGCTTGGGGTACTCTGCCCTTGATCTATAAAAAATGAGGACACAGTGAGACAACTCATTAGTCCTAAACACCCTAAATAATGACAGACATGTACTGTCTTCAGCTCTTCAGCCTGGAACTGTGTAGACAAAAGATTTTGTAAATTATTGGAGTACACTAAATGTATTTGTCCTCATCATAAGTCCAGAGTGTAGTCTAAATACAGAGGTGGTTTGGTGTAGCCTGATTAAAAACTAGATAAATAATACCACTGTCTGAATTAATAGGCTGCTGAGGGGATAAAAATCTTATGTCCAGTATATATTTGTGTAAAAATGAATGAACTACTGTATATAGATAGTGACTATATAACTTGAACTGAACAAAGTATTTGAAAGAGCTCATGCCACTAATGGATATTAATGTGACATTCATTGATTGATCAAAAATTTATTAATTCAGCAACATGCACATTATCTAAATATGCTATTCATGTTGTTATCATATTAGTAATTTCATATTTCTTTTTTCTTGGTGGTGATGATGTCTCTTTTATGTTCACTAATGTTAATCACATCTGTTGGTTGTTTTTTGTTTGTTTGGTCTTTTGAGTTTGTTCGTATATTACAGTGTAGAGTCCAAAACAAATTTCCTTACTGGAAAAAAGGAGGTAGAATAAAATATATCTTATCTTTCTGTAGTGCCGGTCTCTTTCTCTGCCAACAGGATGAGTGCTTCCACGTGAGGTAAAAAAACAGGTCAACCTACAATAAAAACTTTTGGTTTCACTTTCTAATTTTTTTCTGCTATACAAGATTAAAATAAGAAGGTAGGTCAGATGGCCAAAAGGTTATTATATTATCTTACAAGCTCTGATTGACTTGTCTTGTGTCAGGGTAGTTTAGTGCATTCTGAGACGGATGTTTAACAACAGCAGAAGTGCCAATCACAAGCAATGCTGGAGATAATCACTGCAAAAAGCACATCCTTTCACCCGCTAGTGCATATGGCTTAAAGTAAGATTGCCTTTATTCATAGTGCAGGAAACTTCTAATGCTGCACATGAGCACTTTTAGATTGGTTGCACTGAGGTTTTAATTTTGACATTAAGAATTTTTAAAGTCTTAAAACTCACGCGCTTGCTACTAGACCTATTCTTGAACATTTTTCCCCCAGTCTTCCAGTGATGTAAAGCTGCTCCACCTCCTGGTCTTTCAGGGACTGAGGTACAAACTATCTGGAAAGAGTTTTGTATTGGCTCACAAAAACAGCAAAATCTATTGTCCCACTGTTCAACAAAAGTTCAGACATCAAACAGAGAAGCACAATGTAACCACAGGATGGCACTTCTCACTCACAGATGTTCAAATTTGCTTTTTACTTTTAAATGTTTTCAATTTAAACTCAATAAACAAATATATTCACAAAACCCACAGCATGGGCCAATGTTCAAGTAAACACCAAGACACAGCAGTAAAATGAGTTAGCAGTAACATTTAGACACAGCTTTTGGTTTGGGTACTTTAATGTGGCTCTTCAGATCTTGTTGTGAGTAGAAACAATTACAGTTATCAAATGTCTAAGGATAGGTTTAGTTTGTAACAAGATCTGAAGTTCTACTTTCTCTGAGGTGATTTTCAATCATGACATAAACATAGCAAATAAGATAAGATAAGATAACCTTTATTAGTCCCACGTGTGGGAAAATTGAAATAAACAAGAAAAAGTGGGTTAATAGGTAATTATAAATTGTCTGTAGTTGTGAGTGTTAAGGGTTTTCCTTTGATTCACTGCAGACAAACCGTCTTTCCCTATGACAGCTAGGATAGGCTCCAGCTTCATGATCCTAAAACCGATACATGGTTAAGAAAGAAACGGTATGGATAGACTTAAATTGTTCATTATATTCTAAATTACAAAAAACAATTACTGCAACAGAAAATAATGACCCCCCCCCCATTTCTTCGGTAAAGCTTTTACTCACTGAGCAATCCTATGTAGACCGATATAAAATATTAAAATCAAAGTATTGCTGCTGTTGTTTAGCGCGTCATCAGCTGGTTTATTCTTTCTGGCGCAAAGTGGATGATAAACAAACAAGAGAGAAAAGCCGATCAACTGATCATTGATCAGTTTCATGATTGAAGTAGCAACAGGAGAGGAAGGGGGAGAGAATGAGAGAAGAAAAGGCAGCTGTGCAGCAAAGGCACAGAATAACTCCAGCTTTGTGTCTTTTTCATTCTAACCGCGGTTCATTCTAGCTGAAGTACAAATCGCGTTCCTTTTCCCCTCAACACGGATCATGACCAATTGGCTAATCCACCACCTTTCACTGTTTATACCGTTACAAAAACAAACAAACAAACATAAAAATGAAAAATCACCATCGGCCCACCGGGCAAATGCCCGGTATGCCCATGGCCAGTCCAGGTATGCGGTCAGCTGGTGGGCATCTCCAAAAACGTTAGAGCACTTGTGCAAATATGTGATGTCCTGATAAATCGAGCAGATATTCGAAGTTTACACAGCACCATTCTCTCATGAAAATATCTTAAAAGTTTATTTTGTGACCCAGAAAGAGTAATATTTCAAACTCCGCCACTCTGTGTTCCTCCGCCACTGCCTCGTTTGAGTTTTGGACGAAATGGATTCTGGGATATTGCATTTCGTCATTTCGAGCTGATTGGAGACCAAAACAGCCAATCAGATTTTTTTGCATCCAAGTCTGTGTTTGGCTGGTTTTGTGGCACAGGTGTACAGAAAGAGTTGAGCACGCACGGTCAGAAATGTTGAGAGCGCAAGCAACAGCGCAAGTGCAAAAACTGAGCGAGAGGGGCTGCTATTGTGTGTGTGTATGGATAATAGCAAACACTGAAATACATTTTTTGCACACAGCAATGAATTTTGTTCACTCAAATTTAGCTTTTCACTTCCGCACTTCTCGTACTTATAGTACGCACCGTACGTAGTACGCGTACTTCAAGCGTACAGACCCTGAATTGGGACACAGCCCTTGAGTGACGCTGACCAACCAGTCAGTGACATGCAGTCTGATGACATCCCATTTTAGTACCTAATGGATCGTTTGGAACCCTGGGCGAGCAGGTGCTAAAAAAAGTACCTGGTACCTACCAGGTACAATGACCTAATGGAAAACACTGAAAACTGTGGTGAACCATGCCGAGTCAATATGAGTAGGTACTAATGGAAAAGAGTCTTTAATGTCCCCCATTTATTTTGTAAAGTTTTCGTGCACTATGTGATGCTATTCAGACACACATGGAATGTTTTTTTGAGTAATTTTTATTATTTACAAACACATTTTAAAAGCAAAGGCTACACATTACAATTATCAGTTCAGAATTAATATACAGCCAAAAGATTTTTGACAATAAAATATGCATAAATATAAAAATATTGTATTTGTACAAGTATTGATATTCACAAATCAAGTCTAAATAATATTGTTTTTCCTCCAGCATAATTTATTCTAATAAATTAGTTTTGTTGTGATTTTGTTTTTTGTTAATTTGTTTTTGCAGCTCCCTATGAATTTGAGAAAACATTTTTGAGTTATTGTGTATCTAAAACAAGCTTTACAGCTAATCGAGGACAGAGCCATACACTTCCACCTCACACAGAGTCAGGTATTCATGTCTTCCAGGGATGACTATGTTAACATAGCGGCCATCCATCCCCATCCCGTCACCCGCGTTACAGTGGAACTCTTGAATGGAACCTCCTGGGATGCTTGAGATCACAGCACACCTGGCAGAAGAAGCAGAGGTTATTTGGTTAACCCAAGACGTTTACCAGGGCGTTTCACATTGGATTCTTCACTTGGCAGTGTGTGGCTGCAAAATTTGACAACCCCAAAGGTGATATTGGGAAAATTAAGTCAGATAAGGTTCTTGCTTTCTATGAGTGGAATCACAGAAATTTTTGTTCATACTCATTTTCTGTTTGGATTTTGGTATTTTCCTTTAAGAGGACTAATATTCTTTACCTCATTTATTTGGACTCCCACATTAACCTGAGTATGGTTCACATTTATGATTTGTATTTTATCAACACACTGCTGTACAATAAATTTGCTCTCATCAGTTCTGGAACATGCAAATGTCCCTATAGTTCCAGTTTGTAATTAATTCAATTTCTATTTAAGTTGCAGTTTTTAGTGTGCATTGTACCTGGGATTATAGTTGCCATTGTTTCCAAGAGAATCTCCGATGCGGATCTCGGCTCCATTTAGTCGTTCTGGGACAGAATCTATTACATTCAGTACCTTAACAGAAAAAACTTTATGGGTTTTGCGCAGATCGAGTCGCCACCAGGGACTGAAGTCATGTTTTGTATGAGTGCATGATGCCCCATTCCATATGCTCTTTTGATTTCCATCTATGGCATTATAGGCAATACCAGTTGAAAAGAGTGAGGACTGTGAGGCTTTTCCTTGAAGTGCAAGGTTTTCTCCTGCAAAAGAACAAATTCGTGAAAAAATATTAAACATTGATGTCTTGTCAATAATTACGATTAGGTATCAAGAAATGCATTACGTTCAATTATATTTTTTAATTCAGTTTTATTTACTTTAAAATGCTTTTTATTATAAGGTAAAAACTCTAAAATATCTGGAATAAAACCCCAACAATCAGGTGATCCAGCATAAGAAAGCACTTGTCAACAGTGGGAAAAAAAGAACTCTCTCTTCATACAAAGAGACTCTGCACAGAACCAGGCTCAGGGAGGTCATTCCATCTGCCTGCACTGGTTACACCTACCAGCCACCAAGGAGGCATCCAAATAAGATGCAAACCACCTTAACTGACTCCTTCTGATGTGGAGGAGTAGCGACTTTACGTTTAGCCCTTCCCAAATGAGTTCCACACTGTATAACTAAGGCCCCAGGTACCCCACAGAGGAAGCTCATTTCCACTCTTCGTATCTGTAGTGTGATTGTTCTGATCACTACCCAATGCTCGTGGCCATGGCTGAGGGTTTGAGCATATATTTACCAGTAAATCTAGAGCCTTGCTTTCAAGCTCATCTATGTTTTCATTAGAATCGAAGATTGCAGCGTTCACTTTATTGCTGGTGCCACGCCACTTCTCCAATAACTGCACAGTAGTGAAAATATATGCTCTGACTTCTAATAATATACCCTAATGGAATAACTTTTCTGTGTGCGAAAAACTTGTTGTTTACGTGACCAGATTAGGATTTGTCAGGTAACTATAATTTCCAACACATTTCTCTTCATGTCAGTGTTGTATTCTAGAAATGAGAAGTTACTTTTGTAAAATGTTTTGATCAGAGTGATCAAATGCAGTAACGTCCAACAATATACGAGTACAGAGATGAGTCTGCTCCCAGAGACAATAAAGAGATCATCAGTACCCTTTACTAGTCCTGTTTCTATGCTTTTGAATTATGATTCCTACTTTTTCTTTTTAGGCTGGACAAGTAAGCTGGATCAAGTAAAGGCTTCTGAATTAATGACTTCCAACTTAAAAGCCTTTAGCTTCTTAAAAAAAAGATGAACTGATCATATTTAAAATCAAAGTATTGATTAATGATAAGAGTTTTTTGTAGGAATGTGGGCTAATAGATGTATTGATAGTGTCACTGAAGGCCTTAATGAAGTTAGTTCATAGAAATCAATAGAAAATAGTGCTGTCAGCGTTAATCTTGTTTATACAATTATTTATTTTAATTTAAATAAAAGAAAATTCATGAAGCAAACTCTTTGTCGTCATGGTGACAGCGATGAACAGTAATGATAATAAATATCTATTATTAAATTGCTTTAATATCAGCTTGAAATTTTGGATAACAGAGTTTGGCGATAGAGCTGCAAACTGTGCAGCTCATGTAGTAGTTCACATTCTCACCAGTTGGAGCGTGATATCCGTAGACTTCCACTTCACAGAGTGCGAGGATCCTTTCTGAACCAGGAAGAGTCAAAGTTACATAACGCCCCTCCACACGACCAGCGAAATTCACAGTGTAGGATTTGCCTGCACCAACTTCAGAAATTTGTCCAACCCTAACAGGAAGTGTGTGAGAAAATACAATTTACCATGGCAGCAAATATCAGAACATATGATAGTCAGCGTGATCGTTTTAGTGGAATTTGCTGACAAAATTTACAAAAACTGTAACCTGTTATTCTCTATTTTAATATATAATGGAATGATTTAATATAGGAATCCATTGTAGGGAGTGCCAATAAAAAGAATGTGGGCAGCTAACAATGTCAGTCCTACAGCAACCTCTCCTGTTGCCGTTCAGGAAAAACAGAAAGAAACAAACACTGCAAAGCTAAAAATGAGTAAAATGCCAAATCACAACATTGTTGCTAATTACTTATTTCTCTATATTTACTAACTTTGGGTTTATTAAGCCATCGTTATTCAAAGAGTTGCCAATGTGGATCTCCAGCCCGTTGAGCTCTTCATGACAGCAGTCTCCTCTGTTGGTGATGGTGAGGGAAGTGACAATGTAGGACTCAAGCAAGTCCACTCTCCACCAGGGGTCGGTCTGTTGATCGGTGTGCGAGCATGATCCATGGCGAAGGTCAGAATCACGGTTTCCATCAATTGCAGCGTAGGCAGCCGACAATACCTCATTGATACGGGTTGACTGGGTTGCTTTGCCACGCAGGGCCACATTTTCTGGCAATAGCATAATGCAAATGAAAGATATCATGAAAGGACATGCATTCAAGCAAGCAGCTGAAAATGAGCACCCATCCAAATGTACCTCATTTAGTTACTTCCTCATGTAGTTAGCTTGATAACTCTGTTTACAACAATATAGTGACTGTAGTATATGAACATATTTGGATAGGCATATTTGGTAGAGATGCACAACTGCTGGTTAGTTTGCTTAGTCCGCAAAGTCTACCCATATTTCAAAATGATTACATAGGATGCTGAACTTGGTGAGCCAAAAGAATGGTTTGAAAGAAAGTTCTTACTGTAGAAACTGAAAAACTGACTCCTTCATGTGTTTTTTGGAAGGTTTATTGACATCCACATCTCACGTGTCTCATTTAATAATTTGCATATTTGTAGTAAAGAAAAACTATTTTGTGTTACTTACATGAAACATCCAGCTCTAAACTCTAGAAACTGCAGTGACTCCAAATATTATATACTCTGTTAAGTTTCTGTTATACTACTTCACTCTCTATCTCTACCTGATGATAAACACATTGCCTCTTATTATTACACTTTCTTTTACATATAACTACTTTTCCTTACAAAAAAAGAGTCCTTATATACCCAGATCATACTTACGATAGCTGCGTGCTGAGGACATCCCCAGGAGAAGGAACAAAACCAGTGCTGAAATGTGTTTCATTGTTGCTACTGTTCACACTGAGAAAATAAAATACATTTGGGAAATGTGGTTGAATTCACCCTAACTTACAAATTTTTTTAAAGTTTATACTAAACTTAAAGAACATTTTAAGTCTTTAAATGAAAACTACATACCTTATAATCAGATGCAGATGAGGAGCTGCTGTTAAGGACTGTTACTTATATTCACATCCAACCAGGGCACATGATCTTTGTTTATCAATAACCCACCGAGGACTTTGTCCTTTTCCTTATAGAGATAAGGCTCATTTCAGTTAGGGTATTGGCAGTTCCTGATGTTTTGGAAAAATGCATTGGTAAATGCATCTCTAAGGTTTGTGGTACCATGCGTACTAAAACGTAAAAAAAAGTGATGTAAAAATAGAAAAAGTGGCAAGATTAATAAAAACAAGCAGAAAACATTTCACAAAGACTTTAAAAAAGTTAAATGGGTTTCATATACTCAAGTCAATCTCAAGTGGGTTAAATCCAAAAGTAAATCCGACCCCAACCTTAGTAATGAACTGACTCGGTTCTGGTATATTCAGTTTTCAACAAATATAAGCAAAATCTGAAACGTTATGCTGAATATGCCACACTATTGTAATTTATTCTCATTTATAGGGCCGTGCTAATGTGCTTGGAGCAAAAAAAGAGCTCCTGTTCCACTCCCTGTGCTTCGTGTACGGGTTTTTCTGTTGAATATAAAGGATTTTGCTCACTAATCTACCAGATATTTATCAGCTGGGGTTTGAAATTCCCAGTACTGGTATCATAAAGTGCCGTTATCAGCTCAGCTGGGATTTAAACAGTACACCCCTTTTACTGGGCACGTGACACATTTTTTATCTCTTGTGCTCGATTAAACTTGTGAAGGGTTTTAAAAAGCTACTTTTTTTAATTAGTGGATTTAATTAGACTAACAGAAAGAGAGAAAGGTAGAATGTAGTGCAATTTTGCTGTCCAACCAAAAACAAATAAAGTCCATAAAAAAATAAAATAACCACTTCACCACTTTTTGGAAACACTTTTAGATTATATGTTAATGTACTTTATTTACAAGAAGTAAACCTATGTGAAGGCAGCTTTATTCTCTTATTCTTGAACAGACATAGATAGATACTGAAATCTACATGTTATTGAGGTTTTATTTACATCACGGTGTAGTCATGTAAACTTGCTCCACCTCCTGGCTCTGTACAGACACAGGCACAAACTAAGCTGAAAAGAGTCTTGTATTACCTGACAAAAAATAATCTCTCTTGTTTGTGCAAGAACTTAAATCAGGCCAAAGCTGGTAGGCAAAAAAAAAGTGTCACCACAAGATGGCGCCATCCTGACTGCTGCTCACAAATAGTCACTATGTATGTCAAATTACATGACAATAGTTAATTTATATTGCACCAGTATGGACAATAGCTTTGACAAGTAAAAGTGCTAGTGTTACTATAATGTGGCTACTTGGATCTTGTTGGAAAAAACACATTCACTGGATTATAAGAGTTAATACAAAGAACAGCGGACAAGAGTAATATATAATAATGATGATAATCAAATGAATGAATAAATTTAATCTTAGATTTTTTTTAAAAAGTTTTTTCCTTTTAGTTATGTGAATTTATTAACTTAAAGAGTGTAAGATTTTTCTTTAAAAATGTACTATTTGAATGTAAGTTTTTTGCAATGTTTGACTTGAATTTTGGAAACTGATATGTTTTGTACTCCGCCAAATTATTTATAATGGCTATTATTAAGTTAGTATATCAACCACCCGGTCCCCCTTTTTTTTAAATTTTTTTAATTTTACATACCATGGCCCCAATACGCCGTCTTAGTTTTAACACAAACTAACTAAAAAAAGGAGGAACCTTTTCAGGTGCCTACATTTCCCATGGACCGTCTGATATTCAGGCTCGCGAGACTTCAAATTACTCAACACGTTTGCGGCTGCGCAATGTCATTCGAAAACTTGCACGCTGAGGGACGCCGTGGAGGAGAAAGACAACGCAGCGAACAAAACACACAATGGCGACGGCGGCGACAACGGCAGGCGGAACGGGCTCGGGTGGACCGACCACTGGCCCCGTCGGTGGCTTGACCGCAATGGGACGAAAGAAAGATGGTGGTCCGTCTGCGAAATTTTGGGAAAGTTCAGACACGATATCCCAGCTGGAGACGGTGCGACTCTGGATCGGAAAGCACTACAAGAAGGTAAGCTAGCTGCCCGCTCCTCTATTGATTTCTATGAAGGCCCGCGTCCCGCTAGCACAAAGGGGCGCTCATATTTTAGTTAGCTGCAGCCACCTAGAGCTAAGTAGAGTTAAGTTTTAAGAGTGCTTATATATAATTTTGTTTGGGAGTTCACCGTCAGTATACTGCCTATTGTCTTGAACAGTTTGAGTTATCAGTTCTTGTTTATCAAATAGCTATTGTTAGCTCGCTAACTGCCCATTCAATGTTGCTACTAATATGACGCTCAGGGGGGAAATGTTTACAAACGAGCGACACATAGCCGCGTATATTTTTTTTAACTAGTATGTAATAAGTTTCTCATTAAAAAGAAATAACAATAAACCAAACTTTCTTATTAGTTTTTCAAAAGGCCCAAGATGCTAACCTGTATGTAAGTCACGGGACATACCCTGCAGAAATTATAATATTAGCTTAATAAACCCCAGCTTTCTTTTTATGCCATCTTAAAAGGTACTTTACTTAGAAGGTAATTATCTACTTCACTGCGTGCTGTTTGCAGGCCCAGTCCTGTTCCATGCTGTCAGTGTGAGTTTTGTCAACACAGCAGCATAGCACACCGTGCAGGTTGCACTTGCTTACTGAATTAGCCAAACAAAGAGTGCTCCAATTGTCACGTCAGGCTCTCATTCAAAACCACTGACACGTTGTGCCTGCTCAAGTTATAGCAGAAACATTATTCAAATGAAATGGAATAGATAAGGGCTTGTGAATACAGCGTTTACTCGCAGATTTATATTACAATATTTCATATATAAACTTGGCTTTTTTTAAGTATATCCACTGTTCAATAAAGTTGCCTTTAAGAATAATAAATACATCAGTTTTGTTGTTGTTGTTGTTGTTTTTTTTTGTTTTTTTGCAAAGATATTTATGTGAGTTATTTGAGGCCATATAGCAGTGGAAGGTCTTCCAGCTTTAAATGTACTTTGTTGCTGTTGACTGTGATCTTTCTGGCCAGTGTTTAGTTGTTGTGTTGCATGAACTTAGCATAGACTAAATCTAAAATAAGCAACTAAAACCTTATGTCATTATTTGGTGATGTAACAGTATATAAATGGGATTCACTAACATTGTCGTTGGATTACATTGATTTTGCACTGGCTAAACCTTAAAGGATAAAGTCATGACTTGATTTTTAAATTTTTTTGGTCAAGATTGATTCTCTAGAGCAAAAAGATCAGGAAATAAATAGCATCCAACTATCCCTCTTGTCCTGCTGGTAACAGGACCTGGATATCAGGGACGACAGTCTAAGCAGAAACCTGTCGCCATGCAAGGCAAAAGATATAACAAGTTTAAACAAAAATCATTAGTCTGTTGGCTCTCTAGAGCTGCAACTAACAATTATTTTGATATTCGACTAATCTGCCTAATTATTTCAGTAACTCTTATCTCTGCTTCCTGTTGCCAAACCTCCTGTTCTACCCTGTAGTACCTCATCTGCTGAAGTCTGCCCACCTGTGAATATCACCCTGTTGTTTTGTCCCCCACCAACTTAACATAATGATCCAAGAAACATTTGAATTTTAAAATAATCAAATGTATTTTTAACATTACTCAATAGTTTGTATATTATTTGGTTCATGAATTCATGATTGGATGTTCTGGAGCGAGGCTTGCTCTTATCTTTGTGATGATGTTCCCAGCTGCTGATAACCATGCTAATGATGCTCTCCGTCATAACTTAAGCCATCTGAGAGGTGCATGAGCCTCTTTACAGGACTAACTTATCTATACCCCACTGCTTAATACTAGTATAGCAAAACAAAACAGAAATAGAGCTCTAGTAAACAACTCTTGTGGCTGCTCATATCATGGTAACAGACTTCTTTTTATTATTTCCTTTTATTACTTAAGTTTTGATACTGTGATGTGTTATGTCATGTTGTGTTGTATGCAATGTCGTTGTGGGACAGTTTTCCAATTTCATTGTACTATTGTACTATGAATGACTGTGCAATGACAATAAAGAGTTATCTTATTATCAAATGAAGAAGCCCATTCTCAGACTTTTGAGCATTTCTTTGGAATTAATTCATGTACAAAAAAAAAAATCTAAACTCTTGTAGGTTGTATTTTTCTGTCTTTTGACCACCTTGATTTGCTAAAAAAAAAAAAGACTGCTAGATGAGATGGGAATCTGTGCCATTGCTATCATGTTACTGATAACTTTTTTTTGTGCCTACTTCCAGTACGTCCAGAATGACTCCCCCTCCAGTAAATCCCTGGCAGGTCTCGTGGTCCAACTGCTGCATTTCCAGGAAGACGCATTTGGGCGAAGAGTCAACAATCCTGCTCTTACAAAGCTACCTGTAAGCATACAAACATTGCATTCTACAAAAAATCGCCATCACAGTTGAATCCCAAATGGTAAAGTGTTCTGTTCTTATGGTTCCTCTCATATCTTCAGGCCAAGTGTTTCCTGGATTTCAAGGCAGGAGGTGCTCTCTGTCACATTTTGGGATCTGTCTACAAGTTTAAGAGCGAGCAAGGCTGGTAAGTTAACTTGTGTAACTTAGTATGAGCAGATGGGTCTGACATTGATCATCAACTTAAACCCTCCTTTTGAAGTCATTGGTCTTAGAAATATAATTTAAACTATCTCAGTTGTGCATTTTGAAGATAAGCAAAAATCTTAATGGTCTTGTATTTTAGGATGTTGGTTTATGGAGTTAAAAAAAATAACCATTTGTGTCAGTTCCCAGTGATTGTACTACCTTGAATGACTTTATTTGTCCCCCAAGTTGAATATCTCAGCAGTCCATGGATGGTGTAGGGCATAGAAGTTGCACATAAAGTCATAATAAATGCAGAGTTATTATTTGAATATTCATGTGGCTTTGTGTCATTCTCAGGCGAAGATTTGACCTACAGAATCCCTCCCGGATGGACAGGAACGTGGAAATGTTCTTAAATGTTGAAAAGAACCTGGTCCAGGTACAAGACAAAGTCCTAATGCTCGAGCTTCTCCTTATGTTTATTCTAAGTACATTTGTTAATCAAAGTGCAGTCTTTAATAAAATTCAATTAGGCTTCGTGTATTCTAGTTATGAAGTTCAGATATTGCAGTTGTGTTTAACTGGCATTCACACTTTCAAAATGCATACAGGGTTTTTATTGTTAAAATTATTGTAAGTTTCAGTAACTCCAAGTCTTTTAACATTTTAAATGATTAAGCTCAGATTCCATTTAGCCAGTGTGCAGGTATCAGATTTTGACTGTATGCAGTTGTATGGAAATGAGGTAAAGGTGTGTTTTTATGTTGTCAAGTGTCCCTTAAAACTTCAACTGTAATCACTGCATTGAGAGATAAGTGAGTGTACTTTTGTTTTTGTACTTTTGCTTTGTTATAAAGCAACTTTTTTTTGCGTGACTCTAACTTAAACCTTCTTCATGTGTAGAATAACTGCTTGACTCGACCCACTGTTTACCTGTCGCCAGACATCGAGCAGAAACAGGCTAGTAAGCTCAAAGACATCATCAAAAGACACCAGGTGAGCACAGAAATGAAATGATTTCCAGAGTAGTAAAATTCTCGTGGGACGCTCTGGTGTAGCAGCCTTTTAAGTTGTTCATTTTGTTTTTCTCTGTTCTCTTCAGGGCTCCATTACTGATGACAAGTCGAAGGCCACCCATATCATTTACCCATCACTATCCCAGCAAGAAGAAGGTTTGTTAGTTATCTCTGTGATTTACAGACTTAATTCTTAGTCAAGTAATGTGAACCACATATCTACTTTCTTTCATTCTCCCTTCATTATCCTTCTGACCTAAAACCAACTTATTACTACAGTTAAATAATGAAAGATTTTAAAAGTGACTTAAAATATAGTAAAGTGATCAAATACTGCTTGGTAATCTTACCACTTTGTTTTTTTTTTAGTTTTGTTTTTGCTTATAAAAGTGTAAATAATTGTGAAAACTCCTGAATATTGGTATTTATGTTTTGCAGAGGAGTGGCTGCGTCCTGTCATGAGAAAAGACAAGCAGGTGCTTGTCCATTGGGGTCTCTACCCAGACAGGTGAGCAGAGTGAGGCATTAAGCAGCTCACAAAAAGATCTGTGCTTCAGCTGGTGGATGTAAATTATTTCCTTCTAATATTTGGGCATTTTAGGAAAATTTTGGCATTTTATTAAAGAAAAGAAAAATAAATAATCACTCGAATCATCCTGAGAGAGATATTTCTGTTCATGACTTCATGAAGTTACTGATAACTGTTTTTATTTTGTTAGCTACGACACCTGGGTGTCAGCCAGTGAGTTAGACGGTGACCCAGAGGACCCACCCAGCACTGACAGACCTTGGAAGGTGAGATGTCTGTAACCAATAGGTTTTCTTTTGATACTGGAAGACTTTTTGTGTCCCTTAGAGTTTCCAGTTTTGGCTTTTGTTACCTATGTGTTTATAAATTGTCCTGAGAATATAAATGGTCACTATTGTATGCATCTGACATGTGTTTCTACCTGCATACCAAGCAGTTTTATTGTATTTATTTATTTTAAAATGTAAAGTGAAGCGGCTTTACCACATCAGCTAACCAATTTCCTTGTTTTTGCATTTATGTATTTCTGTCTCTTCTACTTGTTCTTTAGTGTCTTCCACTGAAAAATAATGGGAAATTAGGTCAGCAGAGTAAATTGATGAGTTGATTCTACTCTGTTATCTCCTTCCTTACTCTGATAAGGTCCATGCCAAGTGGGTTTTAGACACAGATGCCTTCAATGAGTGGATGAATGAGGAAGACTATGAAGTGGATGAGAACAAGAAGCCAGTCAGCTTCCGCCAGAAGATTTTCCCCAAAGAGGAAGAGGTATGTGTTTTTGCTGTGTGGGTGTGTGTCAGTGATCCAAACTTCAAATCCAAGAGAAAGCAGGTTTTCCAGCCACGTTATATCAGTACAGTGTGACAGCACCGCTCCTACCATTGTTGTTAAAGGGCAGCAACCTGATCATTGTTACGAGTGACTTGTGTTGAAATTGGCTCTTTTGTAGAGGTATTAATCTAAAATTGGTCTAAAATTGGTCTTCAAATCTGTACTGTATGTAAGCCTGGAAATGGAAATTATTTGACTGAGACTAGGTGTGAATGCTGGTGTGAATTTGAATGTTTTTGCTGTTAGTCTGTCCCATTGCATGTTGCTTTGCTGTATGGATTGTGCACCTCACTCTTCTTCGTTCACAACTGGCTTCAGTCTGCATGCTGCCCATCCTTTCCAAGCCTTTCCTCACACTTTGTCTATTTCTAATGAGTTTCAGGGTTCCTGTTCATGTTGAGTAAATGAACTCCAAAAGTTATGATGCCAGAGACATTAAGTTTTCTTTTACATTGTTTTGGCCTTTTCACTGATCACTCATGATCACTCATGTGAGCATTAATCAAACTGGCCACACAGATGTTTAAGTGCTCCAGTTTCCCATTAAGTGTAGCTCTTTGGGTTACCCTTACGTTGTACTCTTGACCTCTGTCATACACGGACTCACACAAAACATTGAGTGAACTGCATCTATGAGGTTAGTAAGCACATGCTTCACTAAGCCTTTCAAAAAAATAGTTTTTATATGAATTAGCTTTTTATTAATCCTCAGCCCCACTGTATGCCTGGAAGTAAACAGAAAAAAGACTGCCAGGAATGGCCATTGTAGTAAGTGCAGTCAGGACAGCCTGCCAGCTGACCTAATCATCAGGAACTGCTATGCTGGCTGGCATATTCATCCTTGTTTACATGTGTGAACCTGTAGATGAAGCTTTCGCTTAAGTGTGAGTTTGGGCTGAATAGGCGGGCACTCACATCACATTGATTTATGAAAAGCTGACTGGTCAGGCTTAGGCTTTTCTACTAGTTCTTATAATTTGGTGGATGAAGCACCATCTGCAGGATAGAAATATTTATGAAAGCTCCAAATTTATTGACAATGGATGAATTGTTTTGTTGGACTTGGATAAATCTCCAGAATGCAGTCATAGAGTGCGAAGTTAACATCATCTATAGAGCCACAGCAAACACATTAAAAGCTTATCATTTTATCTAATCTGGAGCCTTTTTTTTGTTACTTTTTATTAAATTTGAAAAGGGGGAAAAAAAGAATCAAATAGTGACAACTGGACAAAAAGAAGTTTGTCTGCTGCTGAAGAGAAATTCCTCTGATCCTGAAATGAGGGTTAGTGTGAAAGAGTGTCTGTTTGAAGAGGACAAGCAGGAACCCTGATCGTCTCCTCCACCTCCACGGCATCCCCACCCCACCCCTCCTACGGTCGTTCTCCCACTGTTTCCCCTCCTTGTGTGTGCAACCGTTCCATCCTCTCATTCTGCCGCTCTTTCTCTCATCCTCCATCCCTCGCTCCCTGCGCTGCTCGGGGTTTGTCTGATCAGTCTTCCCGTACACCCGATCGCAAGGAGCGCAAGGCCAACTCTGCGGGAAAGAAGAGGAGGCGCTCACCCTCTCCACCCAGCACTCCAGCCGAGTCCCGTAAGAAGGGAGGCAAGAAGGGGTAAGGATGCTTCTCTTCGTTTTTGTTTTTATTGGTAGTATAAAATGTATGTAGTGAGTACTGAGTAAACGCAGATTTGTGCAAGTGGTCTCCTAAAACTTCAGATTTGTCTCTAAAGGATAAAACTTGGTGATCCAATACATTTTTTTCAAAAGACAACAGGCCTAAATGTGACTCAGGAACAGGAGATGTATCATTCATTTTGTTTAAGTAGATTTTAATAAAATTTTCTGCAAAAATTAATTTTCCAAGGCTTGGGGGACTAGTTGTATTTGGATATTAATCCACAGTGATTGTGCTAGGGAGCATTTATGGTAGCAGGACTGTGTATGTGTGATTGAGTCAATGTAGACTATATTTAATGAATGAACATGTCACTTTGTACAGCAGTGAGACTGATGTGAGTAGAATTAGGACGACAATGAAGCCCTGTGGTGCAGTATAATAAGATATCAGTTGTTTATCCTGGTGTTTGATTTTTTTTTATTGTCACGTTTTAACAGTTAGAGAAAAGCAAATAAATCATTTCTTTCTCTCAGGAACCCGGGACCTCACTGGAAACGACGGGGCCACAGAGGAGAAGAGGAGGACACTGAAGAGGACATGACAAAAGACATGGACGATTCCTCAGCTGGTGCTAGCATGGAGGAGGGCAGCATCTCCAAGAATGGTATGTGCTGAGTATAGGGCCTAAGCTTGGCTCTATTTGTGTTTGTGTTGCAAACTACCATCTGTACATGAGATACTTTTCCTGTGTATTAAAGCACTAATTTGGATTATCATTAGATTAATTAAATACACTTGTTCATTAAATGTTTTAGCCTTCTAAAATGAATGTAATTATTCTGTCTTAGCTGTCATAGAAAACGTCAGACAGTTATTATGAAACGCCTAACTAATTGAATTTAAATTTAGGTGGGTACATGGACACAAACTGCTTGCATAGACCAAATAATTTTTTACCACAATAGGCATCCTAACTTGGCCATCAATACTTTGATATTTGTTAAATGTAGTTAAACATCACAGAATAGTCATATTAAAGAAATTTTACATAAGCAGATAAAAAGGGTATTTAATATTCAGTTACAAATGTAAAGTTTTGCTCTATAGCATGTATAGCAAAGTACGCATAACTAAAATGACTTTACTGTCTTTACATTTAATTGATCATCAATTGAGTCGTATTTAGATTTTATCTATAATTGTAACATAATCATATTTTAAATAGTTTTAAATGGTATTTGTCTGCAGTTGCCAGTAAGATCAGAGACAGAAATTAGGATATTTAAATGATTCCTGTCATAAGTGCCCTCTTCAGTCTTGTTGTTATGTGTTGCAATGTTCAGCTAGAGCTTTATAAGCAGTAAGAAACCTGCACTGTGATATTTGTCCTGTTTCTCTCTTTGTAAGGTTTGTCCTTTTCTAAACAGAGATAAATTTTATTTCATTCAATTTTAAATTCATTTTTTTGTGATTTTTCTCTATGTGGATGCTGTGCACTGAATCATTATGTTATGATGACAAGAAAACCCCCTCAGCAGCAAGGGAAAAAAACATACCCAGAGACGCTCACAGTTTAAGTCAGAAAGTAGAAAAACAGCCTTTGGGTGCTTCTTTTTCACGATCTGTATTCTGCTTAAAGATTCCCTTTAAAACCAACACACACAATTCTGTCTATAATACTCTTTTTAGACCAAGTCTCATTCGTTATGTCCCACTTTTGTCCCAAAGAAATCTCCTTGTCCTCCTCCAGCACACAGACACACACTCAGTCTATTTTAGTCTCCCCTTTTGCAAACCAGAAAGCTCGTTATTGTCTTCATGCCCATGGCTGAATTAGACAGTCTTTGAATAATTTTTCTTAAATATTTTAATTTTTCCCCTCTTCTGTACTTCACTTTGTACATTTTTTTTCTTTTATTCCATGCACAGCAAATTCAAAGAAAGACAGCGAGAATACACCGGTCAAAGGAGGGCATGTGGCCGACTTGGGTATGTATTTATAAATGAACTTGTATCCTTGTGTAGGAGTTATATGAGTGAGATTAGCATCTTTTGTATGTGAGCATAAGCTGTCCCGCAGTTTAAAAGCAATCCTGAGTCAAGACATTTATTTTTATTTTTTCCAGATGACATGGAAGATGAATCTGTGATGTCTGGTGGAAAGGTAAGACCATTGTTGTCTGTCTTTATCTCTCCAGTGTAGTTAGGAATATCACATATACATATCACTCCCAGTCACTCCTGGGAGTGATATGTAATATAAACAGTGTATTTTGATTCAGTTAAACTAAATCTAATTGAAATATGAGGAAATGGTACGATTAAAATATCCCTATAGTTATTATTCAAAGAACTGAAAACTAGCGTGCACCTGCTGTTTTTCTTCATTCTTTATACAGGCTTTGTTTTCTTTTTTTAGATAAATGTTTGTGAGCAAAGCCACTTTACTTCCAAAGTAGGGCTGTCTCATGAATTGTAATTACACAGCACGATGACTTTTTTCAGACTGCTGTTACTTGACCTGTCTGCTTATCCTTCTGCAGGATGATGAGGAACAAGGCAAAAGTGAAATAAACCGACTGGATGCCAATGAGGACAATGTGACTGAACAGACGCATCACATCGTTATCCCCAGCTATGCTGCTTGGTTTGACTACAACAGGTAAGTGTTGTGAATCTGAAACTTAAGCTACATTACACAAATAACTTGGTTAATAAGTTATAACTAACTTTTCAAAAGCTTATGTGGAGTGGAGATGATAGGAGGCTTTTTATTTTGGAGAGATAGTGAGATGTTGCTGTTTGGAAGAAGATGGATTACAGATGCATTTTAAAAAACACAAAAAAACCCACCAGCTGCAGTTTACATGCAGTTAGAGGTGCACTTGATGACATCTGCAGGCCATTCTTAATCTCATTGCCATTAAAAATACAATTTTATTTTAGGAATAACATCGTTTCTTCCTACTTTGATATCTATCAATATTTTTTCCTTTCCTTTCTTGTTAGCATCCATGAGATTGAGAGACGAGCCTTGCCAGAGTTCTTCAACGGAAAGAACAAGTCCAAAACTCCAGAAATGTGAGTTTACACACACACACACACACACCCCAGTCCCACATATATAAAAATGCAGCTTTTATGTAATAAGTCCCCTATCATTCTAACGGGACATACTGCGACATCTCAACACAGATACCTGGCCTATCGCAACTTCATGATCGACACGTATCGGCTGAATCCTCAGGAGTACCTCACCTCCACCTCCTGCCGCAGGAACCTGACTGGAGATGTTTGCGCCATCATGAGGTTCGACAGATCCACATGTTGTTAACTTTTCTGGGGTTTTTTTTTTTGTTTTTTTTACATATTAATTTGGTTGGATTAATGGGCAGTGGCTAACTCCACAAAAAATATTTATGAATATTAAAAAGTTACCCTAAATGAATTGAATTGTTGTATTATGCAAGTTAATACCTACTGGGAGGCCTTCAGCCAAACACAGTCCTTGTAGGTACCACAAATGCTTTAAAGAGAAGATGATAAGTAGCTTTTCATTGTTTTAATTATTTTTTAATGTAATTATTCTCCCTCCCCCTCCAGGGTACATGCATTCTTGGAGCAGTGGGGTTTGGTGAACTACCAGGTCGATGCAGAGTCTCGTCCATTGCCGATGGGCCCCCCACCCACTCCTCATTTTACTGTGCTGGCTGACACCCCCTCTGGCCTCATGCCTCTTAACCACAGACCCCAACCGGTAAGGTCAACTTAAAGAGGGAAGGAAGAAGTAGGTTTGAATCCACTTGTGCGGCCAAGGACCATATTTTTTGAGGATAAATAGATTGGTTCCAAATAAAGAAATTTTTGAGCAATGACTCACTCCAGAGTGGCTTTTAATAACATCCCTGAACGTTATTGCTAAACACCTAAAATAGTTTTGTGGGGTTTTTTGTTTTTATACCAAATATAGATCAAATTCCTGAAGAATTTTGTCCTTTTTGCTAGCAATTCACTTTAAAAAGGGAAGCATGGAATCTGTGATTTGATTGTTTGTTTTGTTTTTGTGCGTGCCAACACACCAACCCCAAAAGATGTTTAACTTTGATTAAGATTTCAAAAGAAAAACAAACTGAAATAGTTGCAAAACAATTATCACTGAAATTATAATAATAAAAATCACAGCTGTGTTGTTTTCTCTGGGTTCCCTCCATTATACCCTTGTACCATTTCATTGATGAGCTTCATTTGTAAAACTGCTGCACGTCTCAGATGGTCCCATTGCAAAAAAAAATACATCTTCATACAGACGGTTTGCTAATGTGTGGCCATTTTATTCCTTCCAGATTCCTCCTCCACAGCCAATGCCCAATTTTGCAGACAAAAGCAAAGACAAGCCCATCGACCTGCAGAACTTTAGCCTTCGTTCTGACCTCTACAACAGGAAAAGCATCAAGGTTGGAGCTTGTTCAATTTCATAATGTGTTTTTCATGTTTGAAGTTCTAACAGTCTCTCTGAGCTGGTGTGTTAGAATTTAAAAACAAAGAAATGTCTATTGTGGACTTTGATTCCTCAGGGTAAAGCAGGCAGCACTACCAGAGATTGGACTGAGCAGGAGACTCTGCTGCTGCTCGAGGTGAGTCTTAAAGTACAGAAGATAGGAGTGTCCTGTTTTAAATAAGAAAAACTTCCAGTGTTTGGCTGCTGATCATAAGCTCAACCTGTTCTTATGACCTGATTTAAAAAAAAAAAAAAAAAACCACACTTTTTTCTGTCATTTTCTTTCTATGTTTTTTTGTCTTTAACAAAAAAAGAAGATGGCGATAAACTCTTTATGCCTCATGGAATTATAAATATTGCTTTATTAAATGTTCTCTGGCTTTCTTTTTATAATAAGACTTGTATCATCACTCCTGTCACCTATGGCTAGGCCCTGGAGATGTATAAAGATGACTGGAACAAAGTTTCAGAGCATGTTGGTTCACGCACCCAAGATGAGTGCATCCTGCACTTCCTGCGATTGCCCATTGAAGATCCATACCTGGAGAGTACGGAGGCCACACTTGGGCCTCTTTCCTATCAGCCCATACCTTTCAGCCAGTCTGGGAACCCAGTCATGAGCACAGTAGCCTTCCTGGCATCTGTTGTGGATCCCAGAGTGGCATCTGCTGCAGCCAAGGCAGCACTAGGTGAGAACTGGTGGGAAAGAGCCAGGGTTTAAATCTATACGATATTTTAATGAGCTTCTGTATTTTAATTGCTAAATAGCTAGAAACAGAAACATTTACAACAAATATCAGTGCAGCAGTTTCTTGACTTCAGAGGAGATACTAGAGATTTGTCTGTATATTCAGTTTCATTATCTTAAACAACATCATGCAGCCACAAATATACATGGTTTGGGTTTTGAATGGTTCTGATTTTTGAACGTTAAAGAGGAGATGTCTGCCTTTTGGTTACACATGTTACTTTTGTGTAACTAAAAGTGACCTGTTACACAAGTTAGTAATATTTTTCCTGGTCTTGTGCCAGTTACACTAAAAACAAAAAGACCAGTAGAAGATAAATGTAACTACTGAATTGCTCAGATAACGTAACATGAGATTTAGTTGAGACAACAGACAAACACTGGCCACTGTAATTAATAAATATCAAATGTTTTGATTGTTGTCAGCTAAGCTAGAATATGAGCCGATACTGATGTGTGGCTTTTATTTTTATTTTTAAGTGGGAAGAATAACGGGGAAAGTAGCTATGTACGGGTAAAAAAAAAAATGGTTTAGCTCTGTGAGTAATTAACACTGTTACTACTGCTTTTTGAAACTAAATAAACAGAGAACACCAAGTGAACACACAATACTGAAAGCAGCTCCAAAAACGGTCTGTGCATATGTGACTACTTTGTCATTATAAAGTGAATAAACACAAGCTGCACAGTCCAGCTGGCATGCTTGGGAATATAATACTAGTCTGAACACACCATGAACTAATGGATTGTCATATTACTATCAATGAGAGTCTGAAAGTAAAAAACGTCCACTCTTTGTTTGCAGAGGAGTTCTCTCGTGTGCGTGAAGAGGTGCCAGCTGAGTTGGTGGAGGCTCACGTGAAGAAGGTGCAGGAGGCGGCCAGAACTACTGGGAAGGTGGATCCCGCCTTTGGTTTGGAGAGCAGTGGCATTGCTGGAACTGCCCCCGAGGAGCCAGAAAAGACTGGTGAGTGTTGTTTGTACAGATAGTAAAGAAAGACAGGCTGATGCCTCCAAGCCAACCTCGAAAGTCTTTAACGTATTTCTAAACATGTTAGAAGGTGTAATACCTCAAGCATTTCCTGTTGGGGGAAGGCAGGTATCATCTAAAATGAACATCTGTCTTTGCTGAGGTTTGGTAGTTTTGTGACCAGCTCCAACATCACGATGTTATTCAGCAATGAGGGATGTCCACTCTAATGTAAATTGCTGCTCTGTGCACATGTCCAGGCTAACCGATGTTTCTCATCATATTTAGGCTCGTATTTGACTTTTGCTACACATCAGTCCTTTTACCAGCAGGCTACTGAGGAGTAAAGACATATTGTGAAATGTTGTGGTGTTTCTGTGTACACTGCTGTGGTAACCAGTGGATTAAAGCTGCGGTTGCAGATGGGGCAGCGCAGTGGGAGGAGGTGAAGGAGAAAACTGGGTCACCACACTCATGGATGTTCTCATCGCTTTCTCTCTCTGTGTGTTGTCTTGAAAATTACCCACATCGCCCCTGCACACAAACAAACACACACACACACACAATACTTAACACTTGTTAAAGATTAATGCTCTCTTGAGCTACAGTTGTAATCAATAAGTTTAAATGTGTTCCATGCCTCCTTTAGCCTAAAGAACTCAACTGGCACGAAATCAATATTCAAACTCTTAACATACGCTCAAGTGCACCCGTGACATGGTTTAACACTCAGCCACACGCATGTATTCACCTGGTCACGTGTAAGTGTACACACAACACTTGTCATTTCCTGTGGGCCTATTCATTTAAAGTACTTTCAACCTTAGTACCTGCATGTCAAACGATGCTTTTTGATGTTGTTTATCTCAGTAAATCAATAAGTTAATTTCACTCCAGACAGGATGATATATCTTAGTTTGACTATTCAGCTACAGTCATATCACAAATGTTGGTAATATCTATGTAAATTTAGAATGTATTTAAAATAATCTCTCACCCTCTTTGTTAGTTTTATCTGTCTGACAGATGCTGATTTTTCAGTCTTGCTGTCAATTACAGAAACCACAGAGCCGGAAAAGATGGAAACAGACTCCGACTCCCAGCAGGTTGACAAGGTGAGACCACCTTTCATGCATCTTCAGATGTTCACTGTCTCATAGGAAAACATCTATTTAAAATGGATATTATAATAAATCCCCTGCTAATTAAAAGGTCAAACTGATTAATAAATCAGATTAAAACATCCAACTTGGGCCATGTGCATACCTGAATTCATTCATGGCTTAGGTTTTTCGTTGAAAGTACACAATATAACCAGACTTGGGGTGACAAACGTTGGTAATGGAGATGCAACATAATCCCATCCAATGGTGAGGTAGATTATTTTGATCAAAACTATGGTTTGAATTATACCTCCGGTTTTATTAATAGTGTATGAATTGCAAAATATTGCGAAGTGTCTTACTACCAGCCAGATCAGTTCATCATGTTTTGCTCAAGAGTAAAAAAATGAAACAAAGACTAACTACATTATTCTGATGTTATTACAAGGTTACAGCTTCAGATAGTCTGGCATGCTCTAACAGGTTCATGAGTATTCCTGTGCAGACAGATGACCTGTCACTTATTACATTGATAGCCACTTCACTTATTTTTTGCACGATTTAGAACTTTCCAGTTCATTTACTTTTAGCCTTCGTCTCGTGCTTTAAAAAGCGAGTGAATGTAATGACACTAGTGGCTGTTCTCTTACATTAGTGATTAGGGGAAGAAAGTTAACAGGGTCGAGATTTGATCAACTATTGAGTGTACTCGCAGCATTTTGTAGGTGAAAAACCTTGAATGAATGTCCTTTATTCAACACTTTTAAGCAGCTAGCTACTCTGAACCACACTTATTTCTCAAATCTCAGGGCAAATCTTAAATTCAGACTTGCAGTACAGTTGTTGTTGTTGTGTTTGGTTTTTTTTTTTTCCTTCTGTGGTGGCACGCCTACCATTTTTGATTTTCCTCGACCTTCAGGGTGAGTTGAAGGATGAAGCTGAGAAGCCGAGCGAGGCTGCCGAGAAGAGCGACAAGACAGAAGCAACAGAAAAGGTGAAAAAAGAGGGAGCGGAGGCATCGGAGCGTGAAGAAGAGAATGAAGAGGGAGGGGAGGCTAAGACCGCTCAAGCAGGTAACAGTTTATGCCAAAGTGAAACTAAAGCTCCATTTCACAGGCATGCAACTTTGTTTTTAAATTGCAATTTAAAGGGTCTACTTCTGGTTGATTATCCTGATGATTTGATAATTTATTTAATGTTTTATTGTTTAATTAGTCTGTAAAATCTGATAATGTTTTTCCACACACATTCTTTGAAAAGTCTACATAAAGTGCTTGATCTTTTCTATTTTTTCTTTTCCTTATCAGACAAAGACAAAGAGGAGTCTATGGAGACATCATCTTCAGACCAGGAGAAGGAGAAGGAGGAGAAAACCCCTACAGATGAGGGAGAGGACAAGGGCAAGAAGCTGGAACATGATATCGGAGAAGGAAACATTGCCACTGCGGCTGCTGCTGCCTTGGCATCTGCTGCCACAAAAGCCAAGGTAAGACTGCAGGACTGCTGACTCTGCAACAGCAATTGCATGGAACAACTTCAGCTTTTCTCAAATGACACTGTGTTGCTGCTATAATTTTGTGTACCTGTTGTTCTGATGGAATCCTGTACTTTTTTTTTTTTTGTAAATGTTAAAATAGTAAAATGCTGGAAATGGTTATTTAGCATTGATTAGATATTGCCTTCCTTTTAGCATTTGGCAGCAGTGGAGGAGCGGAAGATCAAGTCCTTGGTGGCTCTGCTGGTCGAGACCCAGATGAAGAAACTGGAGATCAAGTTGAGACACTTTGAGGAACTTGAGACCATCATGGACCGTGAGAAAGAGGCTGTAAGTCAGGAATACTTCAATACAATGTTGTATTCTGTTGGGCAGCTGGACTCTTCACTTTCAGTTAATGCAGGCACTCAAATCCTCTAATGCTCAGTAAAGGCTTATAACTGTGGTTATCAAAAATGAAGGTGAGCTGTTAACAGAAGTTCATCCGGCACTTTAAAACTACGCCTAGTCTCTAAAGTGGAAAATTAGCTGTTTGAAGCAAAGACAGATTTATAAAGTACCCACCTCTCAGACAAAGTGTCTACAGATCTTTAAAAGGTCTATAAAATTATTAATGCAACTAATACGTTTTTTAAAAAGACTTGAAGTCAAAGGAGAATGTTTTTAGTCACAGGTTACTTTTAGCTGCTTCCGTATTTCCCAAGAGGTCACCACAGCGGATGGCTCTGCATGCTTGGTTTGGCACAGATTTCATGCCAGATGCCCTTCCTGACACAGCCATCCCATTAATCTGGGACTGGCAAGTAGAAAACCTCGTGTGGTGGTTATACTATAGGGAGTGCAGAATTATTAGGCAAGTTGTATTTTTGAGGAATAATGTTATTATTGAACAACAACCATGTTCTCAATGAACCCAAAAAACTCATTAATATCAAAGCTGAATGTTTTTGGAAGTAGTTTTTAGTTTTAGCTATTTTAGGGGGATATCTGTGTGTGCAGGTGACTATTACTGTGCAGAATTATTAGGCAACTTAACAAAAAACAAATATATACCCATTTCAATTATTTATTTTTACCAGTGAAACCAATATAACATCTCCACATTCACAAATATACATTTCTGACATTCAAAAACAAAACAAAAACAAATCAGCGACCAATATAGCCACCTTTCTTTGCAAGGACACTCAAAAGCCTGCCATCCATGGATTCTGTCAGTGTTTTGATCTGTTCACCATCAACATTGCGTGCAGCAGCAACCACAGCCTCCCAGACACTGTTCAGAGAGGTGTACTGTTTTCCCTCCTTGTAAATCTCACATTTGATGATGGACCACAGGTTCTCAATGGGGTTCAGATCAGGTGAACAAGGAGGCCATGTCATTAGTTTTTCTTCGTTTATACCCTTTCTTGCCAGCCACGCTGTGGAGTACTTGGACGCGTGTGATGGAGCATTGTCCTGCATGAAAATCATGTTTTTCTTGAAGGATGCAGACTTCTTCCTGTACCACTGCTTGAAGAAGGTGTCTTCCAGAAACTGGCAGTAGGACTGGGAGTTGAGCTTGACTCCATCCTCAACCCGAAAAGGCCCCACAAGCTCATCTTTGATGATACCAGCCCAAACCAGTACTCCACCTCCACCTTGCTGGCGTCTGAGTCGGACTGGAGCTCTCTGCCCTTTACCAATCCAGCCACGGCCCATCCATCTGGCCCATCAAGACTCACTCTCATTTCATCAGTCCATAAAACCTTAGAAAAATCAGTCTTGAGATATTTCTTGGCCCAGTCTTGACGTTTCAGCTTGTGTGTCTTGTTCAGTGGTGGTCGTCTTTCAGCCTTTCTTACCTTGGCCATGTCTCTGAGTATTGCACACCTTGTGCTTTTGGGCACTCCAGTGATGTTGCAGCTCTGAAATATGGCCAAACTGGTGGCAAGTGGCATCTTGGCAGCTGCACGCTTGACTTTTCTCAGTTCATGGGCAGTTATTTTGCGCCTTGGTTTTTCCACACGCTTCTTGCGACCCTGTTGACTATTTTGAATGAAACGCTTGATTGTTCGATGATCACGCTTCAGAAGCTTTGCAATTTTGAGACTGCTGCATCCCTCTGCAAGATATCTCACTATTTTTGACTTTTCTGAGCCTGTCAAGTCCTTCTTTTGACCCATTTTGCCAAAGGAAAGGAAGTTGCCTAATAATTATGCACACCTGATATAGGGTGTTGATGTCATTAGACCACACCCCTTCTCATTACAGAGATGCACATCACCTAATATGCTTAATTGGTAGTAGGCTTTCGAGCCTATACAGCTTGGAGTAAGACAACATGCATGAAGAGGATGATGTGGACAAAATACTCATTTGCCTAATAATTCTGCACTCCCTGTACATTGTGGGGAGATCCAGAACTGCTTGTTTTGGATGCTTTTGGAGACCCAACAGCAGAGTATTCATTTTGAAGTCTGCTACTCAAGGCTCATGCATTGTAATGTAACTTCTCTGCAGACAAGTCCGAGCAGTGGCAAAAAACAGGCAGCCACATGGACGTCACAGATACACACAATAATCAAGGCTTAAAGCCTTGTTTGTGTCTCCTCTCAGCCTTGAGCTGGGGATCTTTTGTGTGCGCCAAATGTTTCAACCACTACACCACAGAGTCAAGAATGTTTTCATTCTCACCACCGTGAAAATCTCCGGCACATAATGCTACTCAATTAGCTCATACAGCATGACTGCATCGTTAAGGTTTCACCTAATAGGTTTTGCATATGTGCAAATGGTTTACTGTAGCAGTCTGAAAAGATAAATATTGGGATGGTGTTTTAAAATTAACCAAATATTTGTACGTTTCCTTAAACACCATTTTAACTTGCCATCAACAGGTTTCCTTGGGAAGGGTATATTTCACTTTTATGCGACTTTCACAGCATATTCTCTTAAGATTGTGTTATAAAGGTCTTACATTTAACTTGTTCATACTTACAGATACCCCATCTTAGCCTGTGAAATATTTTTTTATAAAAAGAACAACACGTGTAACAAAATATTGAGATAAAGTTGAATGTTTGATTTAAACTCCTAAATTTAAGAACAGACATTTTAAGTTGGGACAAATGTCAATATTTTAGGAGGGTTAAAGGTGGAACATGAGTGCAGCATTACACCACTACCATATAATTAATAGGTAAATACGCAAATATCCTTACTTGTTAGAAGTCTTTATTAGACTGTTTAAAAAATGTAAAATAATCGTGAAACACTTTAAAATGAAAAAGAAATATAACTATTTGGATTAGCACATCCTTTGGAGTTGTCCAGAAAAGACTGCGTTACAAAGTTTTGCTTCTTCTGTTGCTATATTGGCACAAGTAACTAATAAAGATTTAATTCATCAACAGATATTGGCCAGTCAACAGGTTTGTCCCCACTTGGCCCAAGTCTTCCATAGAGATTGAAAAAGAGACGCAGCATTAATTCTCTGTGAGGAGAACATTTTTTCCAAAGCAAAGCTGTTGTTCAGTGAGGCAAGTGAAAGTGTTACCTGCCCCGACAGAGCAAATGAATGACTCTCAGCTCTTGTTTGTGTGTGTTCTGTCCCTGCACAATCCCTGGAGACGCTAGTGAGAGTGTAAAACTGTGTTTTCACGGTAGCGGCATTGGCAGTGTAGCCCAGTTTCACAGCTGTAAACAGTGCATGAAAAGGAGTCTGGTTAAAGAGGCTTTCTGAACGCTGGAATGAAACCAACCCACTCCTGCTGCTGTTCCTAACATAAACTGTAAAACACTGAGACTCTCTAAAACAAAGAAACACAAAGCTTTATTTAGAGCTGTATGTGCTATGCAGAAGGAACTGAACAGACCTCCCCCTTTCTTGTTCTGATTTTTGTCATGAAGCTAGTTTATTTTTTTTTAGCTTCATAAACGTTCTTTTTGACTTTGGCTGTAGTTCTTTATTTTTATATCCATGTTTTGAAATACCCACCTGATGATACTGTGGGTCCAGTCTCATCAGTATAAGGAATGTGTGGTGAGTGCAGTGGCCTATGTAGTTATTGTAGGACTTCGCTCATTCATCTCAGCATAGCTGCACACACACTAGCTGTACATCTGCTGCAAGTTCAGTCTGGAGGAAGAATTATTGCTGCCAGACTAGAGAAGTTCAGGAAAGGCCGCTGATTGACATCAGGAATGGCCAAAACAGCGACCTGTTTAGTTGGACAAAATGGAAATGAGCACGAGCTCTTCAGTTCTTAAATGCATGCACAGTTTTTAAAGATTAAAAAAAAAAAAACGTTTTTAAAAGTAGTTGTAAAATATACCTTTGTGGCCTGTAACAAGAAAACCTGTATGTGTAAAAACTGTGTTTCGATTTCATGGCCATGGTATTTATAAGTTAGGCTTCTGCCCTGTAAAATTTGCAGGCCTGCATTTTGTCAGTGTGCACCTTTTTGGCGTAAAGCAGACTTTATCAGGATATAAAGCAATGAAAATGTAACTTTATGTACTGCAATACCTGCCAGTTGTTGGTGGTATTTGGTATTATAACTGTCTTAAAATAATCTTTCCTCATGGTTCCTGCATTTCTGTGCAGTTGGAGCTTCAGAGGCAGCAGCTGCTAACCGAGCGTCAGGCATTCCACATGGAGCAACTCAAATACGCCGAAATGAAGGCGAGGCAGCAGATGGAGCAGCAAGCGGCAGCCGCGGCTGCTGCTGCTGCTGCAGCTGCCCAGGCCCAAGGACAGGGACAGGGGCCTGGGGCTGGACCACACTCTGGGCCCCCTCCACCAGGCATGCACCCAGGAGGACCTACACCCCACCACGGAGGACCTCCTCCCCACCACGGAGCACCTCCACCACACCATGGAGGGCCCCCACCCGGCGCTGCAATGCACCCTGGCTACCCCCCAATGGGTCACCACCCAATGGCCCCTCACCACCCAGGACAGACAGGTGAAGGGAAAGGAAAACTACACTGGTGCTCAAAGTGATACAGAGATTAAGGAGCTTTGAAACAGGGGGAGCAGATGTGTTCTTTTAGATATTGTGAAATATTAGCATTTTCATATGGAAAGAATGTCAGCAGCTTTACCAGGTTATGACTTTGTTTGTTTTACACATTTGCCATATCAGATATTGATAGCTCAGTAGCTACTCTCTGCTGCCTTTAGTGGGTTGTCTTTCATATATACCCAAAGTTATACTAGCAGCTATGTTTTGTAGTCTTAGATCTTGGCCACTTGTTAGCCAGCTTGGTAGTAACTGCTAACTTGCTTAACAATTTTAATCTTTTTTCTTTTTCTATTTTTTTTAATTTATTTTTTATAAATGATGCCTTAATCTACCTAAAAGAACAGCTACATGAATTACTTTATTAAAGTCCCACTAATTTGGACTGGTATTTTGGTCATTTGGACTAACCCTTGGTGATTATTTGCTTTTGGGAACTGCAGGAAAATGTGGACATAATTGGCTCATTACATTAAACTTCAGCAAAATAACATATCAAGTGTTCTCAGAGAATAAGGACAGAATGGATTAAATGGCTTTTTTTTCTCTACAAAATCATGTTAGTTGTTGGTTGAGTGTTTGTTTCTGGTTTGAAGCACCTCATGTAGGTTTTCTTCCTTATGTCCATCTGATCTCCATGTGTCTGATTTCTCTTATTTGTACTTTTCATGCTGCAGGACCAATGGGACCAGGTCAGCCAATGCCTGGACGTATGATGTCTGGCCCTCCTTCTGCTGGGCCTCCTCCCGGTGGCATGCCTCCCATGATGCCCCCACGCCACCCCGGAGCCCCCAACGGCATGTGTAAGTATAAATAGTCACCCTCTCATTATGCTTGTGTTGTTTTTGAATATGTATAAGCAAACTCAAGGTGGTTTATTTCTGTTGATTTGTGAAAATTTAATTCACCAAAACCAATACACGCTAAATTATGGCCTTGTTTCTAGGATCCTTTATTTACCCAACAAACAACCTAAGAAAAAAAATCTTTCTGGGAAATTCAAATAATGCTTTGACCTGGAGCTGACAGCTGGTATTTACTTTGAATGTCAGCTGCAGCTAAACATTTGGATCATTGCTGCTTATTAGCATCACAGCACGCACAGACCCTGTGGTTTGCATTGATTTCTCTAACCTTGTAAAGCAGCCAATCAGCATCTGAAATTAAGCACCAGTGTAATGATATGTATTTAAGTTTTTTGGCAGCTGCTGTTTGTGTTTCCACGTGTACTAAAGCTGAAATTTGAACTCTAAGAATGGTGTTACTTAATCGTTTTTTTTGTTTTGCATTGTATTAAAGAGACTTCTCAGCATTTACATTCCTCAAGAGAAACAAAATTTGTTAGATTTATTGCAGGTGACATATTATAGCGATACCATTAATTCTTAGACTGTTAACTTTTAAGCTATGTTTGCACTTTTTGATACCTAACCTGTAATGTTTTTTTTAAAGGAGGAGAAAAATACAATTTTCTTCATGCCTTAGGATGTCATTTATGTTGCCCATCAGCATAAGTTATGGTTACCAGAAATCAATGCGGGCTTTAATTTAAAGCCTCACACCACTGCTGTGTGTGTTAGTCTAATAATTGCCCTGTAGCTAGGTTAAGCGTTGTAGATTGTTGTGATGAGATGAAACCTTTTTGTCTCTAAAGATACGGACTGTTTTTGATGTATTTTGCCTCATCATCCAGTAGAGGGAGCTCTTAAAGTCAGATATCAGCTTTACAAATTGCATCCACAATTAACCTGTGATGAATAAATTGTACTGGAGGAGGATGGTAGCCACTTGAACCACTGAAAAAGCGGTCTTTGAGAATTTCTGGTTCTGTGTAGAGGTCTTCACGTCCAAGCTTATCACTTAGTGAAGCAGTGTTGTAATGTTGTCTTGAATATGACAGAAGAGACAGTGCAGCTGCGACTGCACAGAGAAATGCAAACGATGAAAGCCAGACTAAAGGGTTAAATACCATGTAGAACTGGTTCATTACACATGACTGGTATTGAAAATACCAGGATTACAGTTACCTTCATATTCATTTATATATTAGTTCAAACTTTAGCTTGCTTCCTTTATGCTCTAAAACCAAGATTTTCCTTCTTAGATCCTGGTCCACCACCTGCACAGCCTGAAGCGATCCCTCCTGCTCCTGTAGGTCCTCCAGCACCTCCGAGTGGGCGAGTGGCTGACAACTAAGAGCTACACACAAACACGCGCGGACACACACACACACACAGAAAAGCACACAAGCTTGAAGCTAACTCTCTGAACATCAACCCCTTTTTGATGGCCTTTGCTACTGGCTCGGTATTTTTCACTCAGCACTCACATCTACTATAAACTTCATCACAGGATGCACGCACACACACACACACACAGACACACACAGGGTTCAAAAGCAGAGGTAACCTGACATTTCACACATGCACCCATACATGCAGACTTCCACTCAGGGCACAGCGGCAAGGGTCGTCTACTTATAAACACTGTTTTCTGCTCTGTTGGGCCAAACCAAGGATGTAGAGAATGACCCTGTGTACAGAAAACAAAACAAGGAGACAGAACAAATAATGATTTAAAAAAACTGTCTCATCTCTTTTTCTTTATCCTCCTTTCTTTTTCCAGTGCTGTTTTAATTGCACTGAAACCCCCTTCCAGTCTCACAAAACACACGCCCTGCTTTTTGTCTGGTTCCTCTTTCTCCAAGACAAACACTAGGGGGAGCTAGCGAGACTAGAGAGCTGGTGTGACCTGTAGGGGTGGGTGGTGTGTGTGTGTGTGTGTGTGTGTGTGTATTGAAGCAAGCAAGATTTTTCAGACATTAACATGAATAAAACACACATGGGGGACCCAGCCTGCCCTCACTCTTGTCTTGTCGAGTATCTACCTCTCGCTCCTCTTGAAATGATACACTGTAGTTTTGTGTGTGTGAGTGTGTGTCTGTGAATGTGTGTGTCAGACAGAGGGCTGGGTGATGGTCATTTGTGCCTTTTTTTTTTTTTTTTTTTTAATGTATGGAATCTGTTTTTTACTCACTTCTCCTCTAGCTGATTTTGAGATATAAAGTCAAAACTGAACAAAGAGGCAGGCGGAGATTTAACTTTAGGTCTGCCTTTGTCTGATAAGGTGCATCCTCCTTGACCCCCCAAAAATGGCAGCTGTAAATACTGTTAACAGTATCTGAGTATAGACGTGAGAGACAGTACCTGCTGAAAAGGTTTAAATTGTTCTTAGTTGTGCTTGAAATGTAAGGGTTCAACTAAAATTACTTTTTTCCCCCCAACTTTTTACTGGACTTTTTACTGGACTTTAAAATTCCATTTAAAAAAAGACCAGAAATTTCCAAGTTCTCTTCTCAGTGCTTTGTGACCTCCTAATCAGAGAAGTAAAATCTTTAAATTGTATGATTTTAACATTTAAAAGTTTTGCCTACTAAAGACATTTGCAGTATTTGGCAAATATAAACTAAATTGGAAGCTAAATCTCATTTTGTGAGGCACAAGTTAGGACTTTGCAGCCATGAAAGGAAGTACATCCACCTCCTTCCTCTGTCTGTCACACCACCTGCAGCACTGTAACGCACACACACAGACATGTAAGCTAAGCTGTGGCGAACACTGGAGGCTGCATGCACACACCGACTTGGCCAGACCCTGCCACAAAGCACTGGACAAACACACATGTAATCTCCTGCTGACCTTCACACAGCCTTTACAGAGAGGGAGACGCTGTGATGCGGCTGAAACATCACAACACGACGATGCTCTTCCTCAGCACGGTGGGCTTCTAGATGTTTTTAGGTGCTGATACTGTAGCGATTAAACCCCGCCCCCCTCTCTTATGCTCAGTTTCTTCACGCCTAGTGCTGCCTACCTCGCTAACCCCTCTTCCCCCTCCTCCCCTCTTTAGTGCACGTTTTGCATTAATTTCCAGCTACTGTAAAACTGCAATATCCTCATTTTTGTGTATCAAACCATTACACGGAAAATATTAAGTTACTAAGTAATCATAACTGTTTAGTCCTTAAACGCTCTGTCCTGTCATGTCACAGTAAATTAAATTAAACAAGGGGCGAAACCACTGAATACTTGCGTGCAGATTTGGTATTTAAATATCAGCTACTCAAGCTGGATGCTGGTTTCCTTTATCTTTTTCTGTAATGGGAAATTTAAAGTAACCTCAGCTGAGAGAAAAACAGTTATTGCGTGTTAATTTTCAGTATCAGCTGAACAAAGTGTCTGAAAAAATTAAAATTAAATCCCGTAGCTATAAAAGGGGGAAAAAGGAACATTATGGGCTTTTTGTTTTTGTTTTCGTCTCTCCTCTGAATTAGTTCTAGGATAGGACAACAGTTTCACCACAAGATCCATTTGTTAGCTGCGGTTTGTCGCAGTATTCCCAACATTTTCCATTGCTCAGGTTTCCCTTTTCTGAGCTTTTTAAAGTATTTTCATGTCAGTAATCTTGGAAATTAAAATCGGAATTTTATTCCTCGAAACGAGTCGTTCTCAACATTTGGAAGCCCGTTTTCCTCATGATGTAGTTGTTTTTGTCAGGTCATCAGCAAGTGCTTTCAACCCATTAAAAACATTTTATGACACTTGCAAGTTAGCTTTAAATAAATTAAAATGTTTGTTTTATTCCTGCTGCTCTAATCATCATTTCAACTAGTCTGCATTCACCATCCTGCATCGTTCTAAAGCTGACATACAAGTGAATAATAAATCTAATATGAGGATGTTTTAATGTGAAGTCTTAACCAGAACTACTACTCCTTCCCTGTTGCTAGCACTGTTAGTATCTCTGCTACCTCCTCCTCCATCTGCTAGCTACCTCTTCTAGAAATCTTCCTCTTGCTATCTACTACCTCTCTGCGCACCCCTTTGCTACCTCTTGTTCCTCACCTCCTTCCTTTTTGTTTCTTCTTAATTTCTTTTAAAATAATTTCTTTGTCCTGCCCACATGACTGCTGCATCACTGACTGTTGCCCTCTTCTCCCAGTCTGTTGGAAGAAGAAAGCACACAAACACACCGTACAATCCCTCGCTCACACTCGTTCAACGTGCCCTCCCATTCAACATTTTACCAGGCTTGTTATGTAATATCACTTAAATATGATGGGATTTTCTTTACATATATTATCTTTAATGGATACTTTTTTTTGTGTTATTGGTAATGTATTTTCAAGGAGATGTTTTGTGTAGATGGAAGTTCTCTCTGTTCTTTGTAGCATTTGTTTCTCTCCCCCCCTCTTTTTTTTTTTCTTTTTTTTTTATTATTTTGTATGGGGTCTGTTGGTACTTGGACCTAGACACTGTCGAATAAACTGTGTTTTGTATGAAAGTGTCTGTTTCTTTGTCTTTTCTCTTTAGACTAAAAGCACAATTGCTAAAATTGCAAAAGTTTTCATCTGAAACTGCACAAAAAGAAGAAGAATGTAGAAAATAAGTATGTTTTTATATTGCCGTTACAAGATTGTATTTTAAAAATTAATCACCTGAAAGCCCAAGTCTTAACAATTAAGTAATTCTTAAAGTTAATTCAGAGTTTTAAAAAAAATGGCTATTAGTGAATACTGAATTAGTCATTTCCAAAAGAAAAAAAACAGATTACACGAGTAGTACATTGCTTCATATTTGTAAGGGTTAATACTTCATGTGATTGTGTTTTTGTGAACTACAAGCTTCAAGAGGACAAACTGGATAATCTATCCCGTGCTTTTGTGTCGGGATTAGGGACATTGCTCCAAAACATCTGCACATAATGCATTCACAATGTGTAAATTACAGTTTTCAGTGATGTCACAGGCTTAGTCGGCTTTTGTGGAAGAAAATTGGTGAAGTCTAAAAGTCTGTTTGAGACTTGAAATGAACAGTAGATTTTTAGAGCACCATGCAATGAATCAACACTGACCAAACAGAACATGCATATGTGGTTGTCAATGAAAAAAGTTGAATTAAATAACAATAAACCATTCTTTCATGCTCCTTACCAGTATGATTAATTTGTAATGCCATTACTTCTTCAACAATGGTTATGATAGACACACAGTGCTGTCACATTATTATTATTATTATTATAATCAAATAATTTGAGCTTTTTCATTTCCTTTGGCACATTTCTTACATTTTTAATTTCCGAAGATACATTTTTCATAACAAAGCTAAAACATTTGCATTTGTGTGGCGCACAAATAAAATTTCCTTAAGTATTTTATGTATTGTTTAGACAGCTTCAGAGAATAATTGTAGTATAGGAAAAGAAAAATGAATCAAGTTAACACAGAGGTAAAGTACTGTCCACAAAGTTACTGCTATATGATTTGGGCTGCAAAAGTTATATTTTAGGCTATTATAGTTAAGTGAAATAACAAAGCAACAAACTGAGCATTTTTTTCAGGTCTTGGAGGGATCCATGATAACTGGGTTGAAGATGTCATTGGTGTGCTTGTTTTGCTGCCTTAGCTGCTTAGCTCTCTGCTTGTAGCATCTGTGTATGAACAAACGAAGAGAAAAACTAATCCCGCCCGGCCGGCACTGTAATCTGACGAGAGGGGGGATTTCTGCATACAGCAGATTGACCATGTGTATGTTATTGAGAGGTTTGAGGGGCCAGAGGGTGATTACTCCCTGAGTGGGACTGGAAAAGGGGGGATGGGAAGTTTGATGAGAGGGCAATGGAACATCTCTGCTCAAGCACTGTGAGCAACCTCTGGGGATGAAGTCAGTGTGTTGGTGTGAAAAACTGCAGTTCTAATGGCCATCTGATTATTGTCTCTATAGCTAATTTTCATCTTCAAAACAATTGTTTTTAATAACTAGACTTTACTTTTAAAAAAAAACGAAGAAGAACCTTACACTAGTATTATCATCAAGGGCATCCAGTGTCAAATCTTTGCCAAATCAATCAATAAGATTTCTATTCTGGATTGACCAAGGTTGTCAAGGACCGCCTTCTAATGATGTTTACCAACAGGGCCAATTTCTGGTGCTATTTCTTGTTTTGGGGGGCAGCCAGAGATGAGGAAAGACAGTAACATAGGGACTTTAAATAAAAGGACTATGAATGGTAAAAGGTGGAAGCTGGCTTTTAATTATGGACAGAAAAAAGGGAGAGGTATTGTGTCCCATGGATGTATTGATGGAAGACATCCAGATGGTTGCTATGAGAGAAAATTATACTAGAGAGAGGGTGAAAATACAAGCAAACAGCTGAACTTTTTTTTGTTTGGTAAGGTTTGGCCTGGAGGATGACAATCTAACTGCCATATTGCTAACCTGCATCGCAATAACCCTGACTGGCTTTTGTCAAAGGGATGTGATTGTGAATAGTTCTTAATAGTATTTTTAGATACAACTTATAGCCAGTAGTCAGAATTCATTGTTTCCACTTTACATGAGCCAAACCTTTCTCTGAATTTCTTGCCACCATGAAACCACAAAACAGCCTTCTTTTATTGTTTTTAAGACAAATACAGGCATTATTTTATGATGTTGCTGCAGGCAGTGGTTAAAATCTGATGAAAAGTATGTCTGCACTCTAAGTAGACCCTCTGGTGGTCTGCGGAAATTTCACTTGAGGCCCCTTGATTAATTGCAGGTTGGATAGCAGTCATTACTCAAAGACTTCCCAGGAACACACCTGCTAAGTACTTAAACTGCAAGAGCATTAAAGTCTTGATGTTTTGCCTTCTGCATGGCATCTTGGAAGGACACCTTAGCAGGCTGGCTAACTTTGAGCTAGATTTAGCATACTAAATATTTAGCCTGGAGCATCAACATGCTTGGTTAGTTCAGCAAACTAATAAAAAGTGCACGTGAACATTTTTATCAGCATATACGTGATATATTATATAGCAGCACAATGGAATATTAAACTGAAGCTCTATTTAGAGTTAATAGTCATGATTAATTTCCCTTTGATTTAAAATTGGCAGCCATCCAGTACAAAGTCTTACTCTAAAACCTGCTGTCCTTGACTGGTTTCCACATCAGAAACCAGCCTAAAACAGGCCGGCTGCCTGCCAACGAGGATACAAAAACGGACCAATTTGCATATTGCTGATGCATACCAAAAATGCCTGACAACGAGATGGAAAGAAGTGGTTGAGGGTTTTACACAAGGGCCTTTTAACTTGACACATGAGCTCAAACATTGGCCTTTTAGTGACAAGACCTTTTAGTATGCAGTCTGAGAAAATAGTGCTGACTTTACAAATATATTTTTGCGTGCTCATCTTACTCTTAGCTTTCTCCTCCTTATTTATCAATATAAATGAGGTTAGCGCATAGAGTTGTATGATTGCCATGAGTTTGTTGAGTACTTATTCAGAATCTGGCTGACTTCCTGTTTGCTTGCCACACATGAGTACGATTAAGTAAAAGTAATCTTTCAGGTTTTGTAGAATTTGAATATGTTGAAACGTATTTAACAAATTCTGATCTGTTGAGTAATGGAGTCATTAATGGTGTTTTTAACTTTATTCACCATTTTAAAGCCACTTTTTGGCCTTGTGAACATCATCTGATGGACATACAAGTATTACACAGTTCAGAATTGTTTATTAGAGATTTGGCTGCAACAAAAACGTGTTTTGTCAGCTATATTTTACAATATCCTCTTTCTTATAATTTGTTTATGCTCGTCGCTCCAGCCGGTAACAGCTCCATTTTTCTTAGTCATAAATAGAACTTTAAAAAGACAAAAGAGCAAACTTGTAAAATTCAGTTACAAAAACAGCAACAATTGCTACTAAATAGCTGACAGTGAAGGTTAATACTACTTCATGGTATCCCTAGTATTACAAGATAAAACATGTTATAGTTGCAGTGACATGCTGAATTGAAGTATGCAGTTCAGTGGTGATAATGGAGATATTGGTATTATATACCCTTAATGCACTTTTTCTCACAGGTCCACATGCTAAAACCACACTTACGTCTTCCTAGAGGTCATTTGGGCAGGAACATGTGTGTTAATGTGTTCTCTTTCTGCAGAGTAAATGCCAGCCGTGTGCCCTAAATGTACAAGCAGAGGGGAAGGTTCAGGATGAGGCTAAAAGAAGCCATCCCTGGCCCAGTTATGACCTTTGAAAATTAGCAGTGTCAATCTCTGCTTGACTGGTGTTCTGACTAAAGTGAAACTGGGAGGACTCAGAAGAGTTCTTCACTTCTTCAAAAACAGCCTTGCTGAAAACCCATTTTAACCCTTTTTAAATAAATACACCTTTAAAATGGAAAAGCTATTAGGAATTAGTAGCAGCAGTTGAAAAGGTGGCTTATGCCTCACTTATTTCTGCTTGGTTTGTTAAGTAAAGGACAAAAGAAATGGGAGTGTCACCAATATTTTCAGCTAAGGTGATAAAATTTGGTAGATCACACATTTCTCAAACAGAAACAAGGGAAGGGATTGTACTGGTTTTTCACTTTTTTTGCTTTGACTTGGGAAAAAGCAACACATTTGCAGTTCATTCACACTGCACAGTAACTTTAAGTGTTGTGTAAACATCCCATCAGTAAGGCTGTTTCTGGGGGTGACACTTTTGCTTCACCTTTCCTAATGTATTCAACTTAATGTTGTGTTACTTATAGTAATATTCTTGTTGCGATCCCATTGCAACTCTGCAGAGAAAAATTATTCTTGCACCGATTTTGTTGGCAAGCTCTTTCAAAAATGACCTGACGTGTGGCAGTAGATGCAGCGTTACAGCCAAAAATGTTTTGCACACTCACTCTCTCTGTGTGCACTGCCAAAAAAATCCTCGACACAACACAGTTTGTTCATTCAGCGCTTCAGATTCTCATTTCATTAGTTTTATTAAACCCGGCTGATGACTTGTCTCATTCACAGATGACTCTGTTACCACTCTGAATCGTGTCCTAAATGTGATCCTGCAGGTAGATGCCCTCAGGTCAGGGCCAGAAAAATTGCTTCTGGCAAAAGTAAATTCACCCTCTGAGGACCGGTTATAGTGATGCATCGAGTTGTGGTCCGGATATTTCTTTGTGAAGCAAAATATGAGGAGTAAAGGTGAGAGCTGCTGCGGAGAGGGAATATGGGGATTGACAGATAAAATCCAGAGAGAAACAGAGAGAATCTCTGAGCTGCGAAGTGTAAAGCTCATCTGTAGTGGCAGATTGAGTCCAGATGTGGGAGGCTGGGGGGAAGCACAAATGTTAATTATGAAAAGTTTGGGGGAAAATGTGTGTTTATTGTATTTAATGTGCGGCGTGCATGAAAACACATCAGTGGCATTCAGTTAGGGCAAGCAAGGAAGCAGTGCTAGTCTAGTGAACTCTTACAAAAAAAACCTATTCAACTCTATCAAAGAGAAAGTGATCTCTCTTCTTACAGCTCAGACAGCATTAGGCAAGAGCTTTGGTCCCATAAAATATCTCCTGTTGGCATCCATCCTGCCATTTTGTAGCCTCATCTTCTGAAAGAAGCTATTAGAATCTACAGCTTCTGTCATGTTCACCAGCGTGTCCGCGTCCTGGTAACAAAATGCTGAGCTTTTCAAGCTGAGAGGCCAGCAGCATTTACTGGTTGTTTGTTTATCCACATTGTGGGTTTGTCTGTGGTCTTTAACGGGAGGCTGACGGGTGCCCCAGTGACTGCACAACAAGCTGTTTTTGGTTCTGCTTTCTTTGCTCTGTGGTGTCCAACTCTAAACCTCAAGGGCCGGTGTCCTGCAGGTTTCAAATGTGTCATTGATCCAACACAGCTGATTTAAATGACTAAATTACCTCCTCACCATGTCTTGATGTTCTCCAGAGGGCTGGTAACGAACTAATCATTTGATTCAGGTGTGTTGACCCAAGGTGAGATCGAAACCCTGCAGGACACCGGCCCTCGAGGCCTGGAGTTCCCCACCCTTGAGCTAAAGTCTGCATATTGTGCTCAAAGAGAGCTAGCATTGTTGCTCTCTTTGATTCAACATAGTTTGCTTTTCATCCTAACAATCACCTCGCCAACATGTGTGATGTACAGGAGTTATATGCAGTTTTTAATGTCTCTCCTTTATCGAGTGTGTGAGTGCATGGGTTGGTTTTGGTTCAGAAGTGGGACTTTCTTCTGGTTCCCGCCCTCTGGCTTACACACCTGGAGGAGTCACACACCTGTTCCCGATGTCCTTGTTTGTGCTACCACTTAAGGTAGTGGCAGCGCTGCAGTCTTTGTTGGATTGTTGAGTTTTAACCAGTTAGTGAAGTCTGGCTCCTTCACCACTGGGATTGTGCAGTTTGCCTGTAAGTGGGGACAAAAAAAAAAAAAAGCAGCTTACCTGCTGTTTCCTTGTCTACGAGGGACCTTTGCGGGAGAGCGGTGAGCTGTTTTGTGTTCTTGGGAGAGAATCTTTGGATCCATGTGGATTTGTGGAATAACCCAGTTGTGTGGAAGCCCAGGACTTTTGCTGGGGTTGATCTCCTGTTAAAACTGTTATTTACTGTAAATAAATAAACGCACTGAACTGTTTGAGTCCTGCCTGACTAGTGACCCTTAACAAACAGGCTACCCCAAAATGCAATGGTAGACATTTCTAAAGTGTCTTTTTAGTGCTCCTTGCAAAACACTAGAGGACCTTTCAGCAGTGTAACAACTGATAAGACCCAAATGTGCAACTCCATTGATGAGATTAAGGTTCAAATTCTTTGTGATAAAAAAGGAGTTGGGACAAAGGTAATCAATGCAACCACACAAACAGAGAAATATGAAGCAAGCAGAGGCAAAAACACTAGAAGACTGTCATGGGAGGAGTACTAAAAGAACACTGCGAACACATCTGGAAGGAAACTAAGGTACGTAAAACAAACCTTAAATACAGATGCAGGTTAGACACATTAAGGTGGAGCAGATAACTGTATAGAAGGGAGAAACAAAAAGCCAAAAGGTAGGCAGAAAATTCAATTTAGCATGCTTTTAAAAATAAAACATGGGCAGAAAGGAGAGTGTTTGTGACAGAATTATATGAAATTGGTTGGCTGAAATACACGGATAAGAAATAACCAGCAGTAACACCTAAACACAAGGACATAGACTTGCAGTCCAAAGCAACTGTGGATTAAAGTGACATTCAATGATTAGTCATGAGACGTTCCAATTAAAGATTTGAGGTTGGCTTTTTATGAAAGTCAGAGGCGCTGCAACAAAGTACTGACTGTGATCCAACGCTTTTCCTCTACTTGATCTGGGATTACATATACCAAATTAGTTGCCCTTTTTTCTTTTGTTTTTTCTTTCTGCTTGCAATGACTATGTTTGATATTGCTGTGTTTACGGCTCGCCCGTCGCCTGGCCCTTAATATTCATTATTTACATATATCATTAGCATTGGCATAGCATTGCTAAAAAAGAAAAGTAATGAAATTTAAAAGCAATCAGCTTCCCTAACCCAGTGTCTGCAGATGGCTCCCACTCCCTGAGCCTGGTTCTTCAGGAGATTTCTTCCTGTTTAAATGAATGTTTCCTTCTCACTGTCACCAAAGTGCTTGCTCATCTGATTGTTGGGCTTTTCTCAGTGTTATTGTAGGGTCTTTACCTTTTATCATAGCATAGAGGCAATTGATGTTGTGATTTGGCACTACATAAATACAATTGAACTAAATCTCTTTCCTTGAACCTCCCAGGAGTTGACCGATCATTTCCCTTATAACTGCCAAGAAAGCACTTTGATCAGCTGATCAAGAAATAACGGTCAAGACCTCTCAAAGGAGCATCTACACTGTAAGTCTGATAACAGTTTAATATTATAAACTGATGATGAGTAACTGATAGCATGTTTACTTGTAACAGTAGAAAGCCTGCAGCTTGCATGCATTTAACTCTGCTAATGTTTAAATTCAGGAAAGAATGAGCTAAACCGCAAACAAATTTCCAGTTATTTAATTATTTTACTTTATTTAGGCTGATCTGTTACAGTCTCATGTTTTAGGTGCGATTACACCGCAATTTGTGATGTTACAACTTCTAGGATAAAGAATTGTAAGATGTCTCTTATCTGTATCTGCAGTTTACCAGTGTAATTTATTTTTTAGAATATTTTCAGTTTTGATGAGCAATTAGCTAAAATGATGAGCCATAACTTTTGGTACAACTCAGTGTAAAATTTTTGGTTTTTTTTTTTACATACAATAGTTTAGCAAGAATTATGGATGCAAATTCTTTCTGACTACAGTGTTCATGCTGTAGCAAAACCACAGAGATGAATAGCAAAATGAAATAGTGGGGGAAAAGTGTGAATGTGTTTACACTTCTACCAGAACTCTTGGAAATGATGGTTCAGTCATTTTATGTTCGAAGCTGTGCCTCATTCTCACCACTGGACATATTTGGACAGACTTTATTGTAGGGAGCCGGCAGATCAAACACAGTTTTCTGGTCTGACTTTGATTAACTTTTTTATTCTAATAAGCACATCTGTCTTTTAATGTCTAGAAAAGCTGGTGGTTTCTTTGCATGTGTGAAAACAACTG